CTGAAAGCAACCCTGCTGACACTCAGAGCTGTGAGAAAATGAATTCCTGTTGTTTAAACCATCCAGTCTATGGGATTTTGTTATGTCAACCCTAACAGAATACATTAAGTGAAATATATTATTTTGAACTATCCACGTCAACTCTATCCTCCATGTTTGGATGATTTTTATCCTATTCTGCACTTGACCTTAGCTAAGAAGCAATGATCTATACCATTCTTTCTCATCTTCATTTGGACCCCTTTTCAATGCAGGCCCAACTAACTGCTCTATCTTCAGTACCCAGCTCTGTCCTGCCCTCTGTGCCTTTTCAGTCCTGTCTTGCCTGCAAAGATCCATTGAATCTGCACCTTCTCTGCTCCTCTGTCACTGGGCTGGCTCATCATGAATTAGGGATATTAGTAGTCCGCCTCTGTCTTTCTCAGTTGTAGGCCCTTTAAGAAAGACACTCTGCTTTCTACCTGACCCACATTAGCTGTGTGTTGAGTGGGGAAAAAAAATTCTAGATTTGAAAGCAAACTTTAAAAAAAAATAGTATGCTATGACGTTCCAAAAGCAAAGCTAGTGAAAACTTTTCAGAATAAGGGAAATAGTAGAGAAAACTTTACATAACAGAGAACATGGATATGAATTCAGGGATTTCTCAAATTAGATTTCACTGTGAACCACGCAAATAACTGAACATTTGCATCTGCTGAGGAGCACACACAGCTGACAAATTTATTGACATGAACTGAACAGCTAAGCTAGTAAGGTGAGGACATGCTGTGAATTCCATGAGAAAGTGTACACTTCCATGGTACTGAAATGTCAAGTATAATTGAACAACTTACTGCAGTTTCTCTTAAGCTCAATTTTTAAGTTAATAGTAGTTCTAAAATACAAAAAGATAAATATACACAAAATTAAAAAGGAGATGGGCAAAATAAACTATTCCTTCAAAGGGTGAAATTAAAAAAATGAGACTTACTAAAAGGTTACAGCTGAAATTATTTAATAGGACACAGCTCTGCGGCAGCATCAGGGGAGGAGATTTCTAAACGTTCTTCCTTCAAACACAAAAGGATCTTAGCACCTGGAAACCCCCTCAAGATTCGCTATTTTTATACTACTTCAGGCATGTAAGTAAGCTTAGTGCATTGTTTACTTTATGCTGCATTCATTCTACCATTGGCTTCTGGGAGAAGTAAGGTTAAACATTTTCTGTATAGAAAAGAAAACTATTTTCTAGATACTCATGTGCCTTGTACGCAGTATATGACAACTGGATGTATGCTGGTATGAACTTATAAAACCATCACTGATGAAAAAGAACAGCAAACATCTACTAGGAATAGTAATAGTATTTGCTATCTAGAAAGTTGCTCATGGACGTACATGGAAGGTACTACCTTTTCATTTCCGGAGTTTCTTTCATTCACTTTCATCTATTTTATGCATTCATGCAACAAACATTACTGTGCACCTACTATGTACCAGCCTCTGAGCAGTCTCTGCACTCAAGAAGTTCCAATCAAGCAGGTGAAACAGGTAAGTAAACAGCTGATAGTCTGATGGACCAGGACCTTTAATCAGGCATGAAGCAAATATTACGAAGCATGAAACATTAAATATTCACAAAAGTGTAACCTTAAGTTAGGTGTAAGGAACATTTCTGCTTCCCTAGAGCTTTCCACCTGAGGTAGAGACTACACTGGAAACAGTTCAGAGCTGAGAACAAAGAGAAATAGATGATTCACCCTCTAAAGTCAGAGAAAAGCAGCATAAGTAAAATTATATATTAATAAAGTTTTCAAAGTAGTAACATTCCAAAGGCAAAACATTGCCCCTTCTTCCAACTCTGCCATCTGCATAGAGAGTTTATGAGTTCTCAAAGATCACTTACCCAGCCTGGCCCTGGGTTTTTCTTTTGGGGTGTGGGTTTTTCTTTTGGGGTGTGGGTTTTTCTTTTCCCCCTACCCCTAAACTTCAGTCACAACCTGCAGGTGGACCTCATTCTGTCAGAATATGGAGGAAAAGTCTAGATGTGTAGCTGAGAGCTGGAATGCCCAGGGTAGTCTGCCAAAGGTTGTCTGAAACCCCACTGCTTAGCCTACAGGGATGCTTAGCCTACAGGGATGTTTAAAAAAAAAACAAAAACAAAAACAAAAACATGACTGAAGGCAAGTGGGGCTTAAGCCATCTGTCAGTATACTATAAGGACTGCCCTTGAACTAGGAAGACTCCAGTTACAAGACTTACCACCAAGAGGACAAAGAGTGTCTGCAGCTGGAAAGAATCATCCATATTGGAGAACAAGCTAAGAGGAAGCCAGTGGTGCAGATTCCCCAAAAGAACTAGCAAGTAGGATGATGAGAGAGCCAGCATTTACCTGCCAGGGGCACTGAGGGAGCCAACAGGCACCTGGCATTAGGTGGAGAAACAACAGTGACCAACAGAAGAGGGGATCACAAACGCCATCGCCAAATTATGATCTTTCCCAGGAACAGACATTAACACACACACACACCTGCAGCTTCTGCAGCTGTGTGGACACGGTGAGCTGGGAGGGGAGAGGGGGACGAGTTCAGACATGAGCCTTTCTTTGGTCAGTGGGACTCTGCAGCTGTGTGGGAGCTCTGCCCGAATCCTGGGAAAGGGGCTTTGAAATAGACGCTCATAGACAGTATGTCAAGTTGACTGAAATGAAACTGCATTAAACTGGAAATGACTGAAAAGGGGAAGTGGGGAGATTCTGAGACAGGAAAATAAAAGTGATAACTATTCCACATTTCAACATCAGGGCATTAAAACACTTAGGGCATATTTACCGTAAATATCATAATTTTTAAAAACTTATATTTGTTTATCACATTTGAGTTTTCAAGGAAATTTAATACATTTCTATTTCACTCTATCATCTCATTAAGTGTGTGGTGTAGAAGAGCAACTGAACTCATTCCTATTTGACTGATGTGAAGACTGAAGTTCACCAATGTCACATAGATAATATATTGCAGAAATATATTGAGACTAGAACCCAGTTTTGCTTTAAATAGGTAAGATTCTAAACAGCTAAACTGGCTTTAAGTGGGTAGTGCTGAACACATGGCCCGGAGTTTTTGAAAAACTGATACTGGCAGTAGAATTCATAAAGCTTACCACAATTATCTTTAAGTAATGGGCTCTACTTATA